ACAATTTCTATTTCCTGGACATATACCCATCATTCTATAAATCTACGTGTAAAACCCAATTTCAAAGTTAAAGTAGGATATAAGAGGTTATAGTATTCCTATGTTTTTACATCATTGCCATCAGACTTCATATTTTATTTATAATTTATTCCAATCATTTCATTAACTGCCATAATTGTAATTAAAACTCCCTATTAATAGCATATCAATCACCCCATTTCTTTTGGTTGACATTCCCTCTAACATATGGCCCCTTAAAATTGCAAATAAAAAAATATGTAAATTACATATCCAATAATGTACATATGAAAAATAAAAATAAAAATATATACGTATAAAAATATAGGTATATTATTTACCAAAAAAAAAAAAACAAAAATAGTTCAATTACTTTGTAATTGAAATTTCTATATATTTTTCTTAAATTAAAAATAGGTACACAATAATTTACAGAAAATAGGTACGTTGTATAATTGAAATTTATGCACATTTGTTACAAATTAAAAATAGGTACATTATTTAGAAGAAAAAAATAACTTCATTATACTAGGTAAATTATTTAACTAGGTATACATTATTAGAGAAAAAAAGGTAAAATAGGTTCATTATACTAGGTAAATTGTTTTACTAGGTACATTATTAGAGAAAAAAATTAGGTACATTATTTTGAGAGAAAAAATAGGTACATTATTTTGAGAGAAAAAAAAGGTACATTATTAGAGAAAAAAAAAATTGGTTCATTATACTAGGTACATTATTAGAGAAAAAAAAATAGGTATATTCTTTTGAGAGAAAAAATAGGCTCATTAAAAAAAAATTGTTTTCATAAAACAAACAATAAAAAGATTATCAAATTAGTTTTCATAAATCAAGTAATAAAGAAAAATAATAGGTACAATATTTGTTGAAAAAATAGGTTCATTAAAAAAAATGTTTTGAAAACAAAACAATAAATAGATTAACAAATTATTTTTCAACATAATTAGAATGTACACTATTATTCATAAAACTATAATAAAAAATAATACTGGTCGTATAATTCATAAAAAGAAAACAACATTAATTCCTAAATTTAATATTGAATTTAAATTATTAATACTTTAAATAGATTACTAGTCGTAATTCTTAGTCGTAAAATAGATTACTAATACTTTAAATGGATTACTAGTCGTAAAATAGATTACTAATACTTTAATGTGAAATTTAATATTTAATTTCAAATAAGTTTCTAAATTAGTTCCTACATCCATTACAACTATTTGGAGATATTTCCAAATTCAACGGGTGTCATTAGTTACACCCCATAACATATTAACTTATAAATAGGGATGGTTTTGGAATCTGAAAAATACAATAAATCAGATTTTAAGTTATATTAGGTAACTTGTGTTAACGTATGGTTTTTGTAATTTTCTTTTGGCTTCCCTTGACAACTTTGTAATAGGATTTGTATTGTTATTTATCAAGCTCAAGTTTAGATTAAGAAAAGCTTCTCTTGGTATTCTTCTCTAACTTCTGTTCTATGGAGGTTCAAGCAAATTGACAAATGTATTGTGCATTGCATATCATTATATTAAATAGTCTTTATAAAATGATGACTAGTCATCCGTTTCTCATATGATTAGTTATCCTTGCTCTGTAGGATTTCCAGCTGGATAACAAACTGTTTTGTCCTATTCTCCTTTCTCTCTCTCTGCTGCCATGTGTGTTTCTGACCTAAGGAATTTTTTGGTCTGTAAAGGCTACAGATTTGCTCATTTGGCGGCTGTGGCTTTTGGGTGGAAGTTTTGGAAAGATTGGCTTGCTATCTTTCTCTTCTTCTTCCTCAAGAGAGAACCAAATATTTCATCTATGAGTTTTTCCAATTGATTTCTTTTTGAAAAACTGATTTTGAAACCCGAATCTGCATCTAGCTACTTAAATCATTCTCTCATTTATATCTAGGTCAGATTCAAGACTGATTTCTTCAAGAGTATGGTTTCTTGAAGAAATTGGTCATTCTATTTTGAATCCAAATATTTGTTTCGGTCTGTGTTGGAGTTTGCAAGCTAGTGCCATGGGATGAACGAGCGGGAGAAGGAGCTGCCATTGCCATGAAGAACTGAGCTTCAAGTTTTGCTAAGTTGAAGAAGAAGATTGCACGAAAGAGGTATAGCTCATATTCCTAAATAGATCTAGGTGTTTCTTGAGCTTGGTTTTGTTTCCTTTGTAAGAATCTTTTTCTACTTAGTGGAGTGCCTGGTCGGTTGATGACTCCCAGATTTTCCAAATGATGGGTTTCTGGGTGAACAAAATATGTTTTGCATATCTGTAATTTTTCTGGGTTTGTGTTCTTGGTGGTTGACTAGTCATCTTTATCTGTTATTTGGTGTTTACATGATAATGATGATTTCACACACTTTCACCATAGTTGTTGCTAGCACAGGGGATGCATAGATTGACGAGTCCTTCTGAGTGCCTAGGTTGTCACTAGTAATCTTCTAGGGTTGCAGGTACTTTGTGGCATGCTCTGTGTGTTCACTTGATTGTGGTTGTTCATGACTAGCATTTGACTAGTCATATGTGTATTTGGTCAAGGTCTAAAGTGTGTGAAGATTGTTGTGTTGTTGTGTCTTGTTTGTGTCGTTAAATTTACCCCTCGTCACCTAAGTACCAATTTCAATTGGTATTAGAGCGTCAGCTCTTAACACAAATAGAGAGATCCTAGGATTTGTATTGGTGTTTAGGTGTGCTCACTATGGAAAGAGATTGAGTTGCTGGATCTTACAACTGCCCTCCTTATTTTGACGGCAATAACTATGCTGCATGGAGAGAAAAATTTGAGATATTCCTGTTTGTGCCTAATAAAACACGGTCATGAACTGATTGAAGGGACTTCCTTTTGGCCCTGTCGCCTACCGTTTCGTCAAGCATTTTGCCCTCCTAAGAGCAAAAGAAAAACTGCAAAGGCAGAATCCCCTCGGCCTCGCGACCGCAGGTTTGAAGGCTGAGGCCGAAGGCCTCAAAAGACACGGTCTGAAAAGGCTGTGGTTGAATCGCCACGTGGCCTCAGGGCCCCACACTCCATTTAATGAAGTAATGCCTCTGACTTCGCAGCAAAACCCACTAGTCACAAGAAGCATTCAATGCACGAGGGAAGTGACTGAAGTCAGGATTTGGTGATGGGAATCAGGGTGGTTAGGCGCAGACATTCTCACGAGTAATCTTACGACTTAGGGTCAGATCATCAACCACCAGTTCAGGGCATTAAATGCGTTTCCACGGCCAATAGGGCAGAACCCACGATCAGGACGGTGGCCGAGATTTACCGAGATTTATGGGGGCCACACCACCATGCTTCTCAACCCTAGGCCACCATGCTTCACGATCCCAAATGCCGATTTGACTACCCACTTGCCAGGCCAGGCTTCACCACGCAGGTCTTGTCAGCCTCGAATGTCCCTCAAGAACTCCTATAAATACTAAGCTCAGGACTACATTCAAAGGGTTTAAACACCAAAACCAAAAGCCTCCCACGGAGCAAATTATATGCACTTTCAATTCCTTTATTTGCTTTATTAGGAGTAGTGGTAGACTGTAAGGAAAAAATCTATTCATCAATATATCATACGACCCTTGATTTTCAAGGCACCAGAGCACCATCTCTGTTATCGCCTCACTCACCATATATATTATACGACCGTCGCTCTCTGAGCAACGTGCCGGAGCACCGCCTAAACGGCCTTGTAGCTCAGGCCGTGGACCTGACGGCCGAGATTCGTTCCTCACTAGGCCACAATCGTTTGATTAGGAGTCGAACGCAAAATAGGCGCAACATTCAAACCATCTTCTACCCAAACCTCATCATCATCTCGATGCACGGTAGACCGTGCTAGCATGCCCGCACACAACTGCACCGCATCCAAAAGGAGGACGTCACGTGTTGACGCGCATTCCTTCGGCCCGGAGCACTAGGCCGCGAGATTTGCGACGGACAAACACACGTGTTGACGAGCATGCCCTCAGCCCGGAGCACCAGGCCGCGAGATTTGTGATGAACAAACACTTTTGGCACGCCCAGTGGGACTTGTTGAAAACTTATGGTGGAAACTAGGGCACAGGCAAAGCTCAAAAACAAAACAGTCGAAATGACTTCCGAGGCTCCTGAGTCCACCTTGCCAATCACTATCACCGAGACCAGACACGCGGTCAGAACCTCGACTAGCGGTCCAATAACGACGGATCGCCCGGCCGAGTCCATGGGAGAGCAAGCCGTCGTCGAAGATCTGATGGCGAAGCAGGCCTACAGGATCGAAACATCCTTCATGGCCACAATGGACAAATTCTCCTCGGAGCTACGGACGCTTTTTCAGGAGAGGATGCCGGTGACATCGTCTGCAACGCCTCCCAGAGCCGGACAAAGAGGCCAAGAGCGCGAGAGGTTTGAGCCCTACGGCGAGAGCAGCAGCCTCGGCGTCTCTGGCCGCACCTAAGCGTCAAATTACGGCCAGCATTCACAGCCGCCGACAAACAGCTGGGGGCAGTCCCAGTCAACATGGGTAAATCCCGGACCGATCTACTCGGCAGAGACGACGTACGACCCATTTCATGCTTTGGCCATGTCACTGGGGCAGAGCAGCCCTGCACAGTCCGCGGTCCAACAACTCGGCCCAGTCCACACTGTGGCCGTCCAGACCCATCCCGGCCCAGGCAACTTGACAGCTACTTCGTCACAGCAATACGGTCAGAGCAATCCGACCGTTTCACCATTACACATGTCGTTATTGCCGTCAGGCTCCCATATTCAATACGGTTCAAAAATTCCAACTACGAGCCATACGAACCCCGGTCAAACCTACGGCGCATATCTGGTACTACCCAGCTCGGTCGCAACGGCTGAACCCTCCGTTCAAGCGGCCCAGCAGGTAAGGCCGCAGAACGAGGGGCAATAAGTCCCACGGCTAGTCGCGGCCCAGCAAGAGGCACCCCCTCAGGGGCTCCAATTCGAAGACGTCCGGCGAATGATCGAGGATGGTCTGGCTCAGAGGCGCCCGGAAGCACCAAGGTATACCAAACCAGACCCGCCTGAAATTGACCGAACCCCTCTTCCCCGAAACTACCGGTTGCCAGAATTCATTCTATTCTATGGGGATGGGCCAACCTCCTCCATCGAACACATAGGCTGCTTCATGGCCCAGTGCGGGGAGGCCGATTCGGACGCCCAGAAGCTCCGTTTATTCGTTCACTCTCTGACCGGGGCGGCCTTCTCGTGGTTCATAAATCTTCCGCCGAATTCGGTGAGGGATTGGTCTGACATGGAAAGGATATTCCACGAACATTTCTACCAGACCAATCGGGAAATAACAATCGCCGAGCTGGCAAGGATGAGCCAGGCGTCGGACGAATCACCTCGCGACTACCTGCAGCGGTTCAAAATGTGTAGGAATTGGTACCGCATAAACCTACCGGAGAGGGAATTTGTCAAGATGGCCGAAGAAGGGTTGGAATTCGAATACCGGAAGAAATTCCAGGGGATTGAATTCCGGGACATGCACGACTTGATCAACAAGGTGGACCGATACCCATCCTTGTTGAAAGAAGACGTGCAGAAGAAGACGGGTTCAAAGGGGACTTACTATCGGAATCCCGTTGTCACCTATGCCGAAGCAGACAATCCTGCAGAGACCGAGGGCGATGAAGTTGAGATGAGCTCAGCCGAAGTCAGCATAGACAGGCCATTTGTCTGCAAAGGACTTGTCAAGGCTGACAATAGCCACACAAAGATTCCCAACGCCAAGTTTGCGACTCGAGAGACGAAGGCCTACACTTTTGATTTGACCAGGGCCGAAGCCATCTTTGACCTACTGTTAACAGAGAAAAATGTCAAATTGTCTTTTGGCCATAAAATTCAGAAACCCGAAGAGCTCAAAGGAAAGACGTTCTGCAAATACCACAGTTCCTTGTCTCACAACACTAATAATTGCGTTGTTCTGCGAGATGTCATCCAGAAATTGATAGACCAACGGCCTGGATAATGACATGGCCGAGGAACAGCTTGATCAAAGGCCAAGGACAAAGGAAGAATTGTTGGCCGTGGATTTTAACGAGGTAATACCCAAAGACGAGCCGAACAAATACCGACATCTCAAACCGTTATATATCTCGGCTCTTGTGGAGGGTGTGCCCGTGTCTAAGGTCTTCGTTGACTTCCTTCCTTATTCCTTGAAGAAGAAGCTGGATAAGTCAAAGGAAGATCTCATCCCCAGCGATGTGGTCATGAGCAGCTTTGTCAGCGATAAATCTAAGACTATTGGGGTATTGCCTTTAAAAATCACCGTGGCTGACCAGACGAGAGTCGCGGCCTTCTACGTGGTCGAATCCAGCATGGACTACAATATATTTGTTGGTCCGTCGCAAATCTCACTTCAGGGGGAAGGCAGAGAGTCCATCCCTTGGAATCCATTCGGCCTCTGCCCAAGCCGCGACCGAAGAATCCAGGGATGTAGGGGCAATGTTTGTGCCTAAACAAATCACGGTCGTCAGAAGGGACGTCTTCTCGGCCGTGGCACCTATTCATGGACTGAAATGACCATGTTTCGTCAGACATTTAGCCTTTTCGAAAGCAGAAGAAAATACGAAGGCAGGATTTTCTCGGCCTCACAACCACGACATTATGGGCCGAGGCTGAGGTCCATGAGAGACACGGCCAAAGATACTATGGTCAAATCGCCACGTGGCCTCAGGGTCCCACGACCCATTTAATGAAGTAGTGTCTCTGACCACCACAGCAAAACCACTGGGTGCATGAAGCATTTAATGCACGAGGGCAGAAGGGAAGTGATTGAAGTCAGGATTTGGTAACAGGAATCAGAGTGGTTGATGAGTCAATTTTATATTATATATTTAACCCCATTCTTAGTATATTTTGGTTAATACTTTGGAAGAATTTTGATACTTTGAATTATATTTCCAATATAGGACTTTCGATTCTCTCTGGAGCAAAAAATAATCAAATGAACGAATTTTGGAGTAATTCCAGTTGGAGGACGTACATGAGTCACTTAGCTTGATCGTATCAAAATATCAGACTTTTCCACCTAGCGATGATTTCCTGGCGAATAAATGAAGGAGCAGTGCGCTGTGCTGGAATAGTGACGTTTTGGAGCCCAAGATGACCTTAGATGGGTTCGTGGCCTTCTGGAGAAGTGTTTGGAATATTTCTATCTTTAAAACGAGCTATCTTGGGCCATATTTGGAGGATATTTGAGACCAAAACGGGGCTGGGCAGATTGTGAGCAGATTCTTCTAATCCAATTTGGATTTTATATCCTAGTATTATTTTATTTTAACCTAGTTTCCTTGTGGGGATTGGGGCAGCTAGGTTTTAGGAGGTATTTAAGTTATTTTTCACAGCAAATTTTGACACTTCTCTTTTGGCTTTTGAACGCGACTTTTGCTAGGATTT